TCAGTCATGAATTAATTAACAATTTTATGATTATTTTGCCATTGGTTTTCCAATGCAGTCGAGTTTTATAAAAATATTAGATTTAAAATATGTTTTAAGAGGTTTTGCAATCCAACAAAAAAAGGTTTTCCCAATTACTTTTAAATAGTAAATATACAAAGTGGTCTATGTAAGGTGACGCATTTACTTATGTCAGGAACTACTGGAATCGAAAAAAAATTGTAGGGAACAAAAGTTTAAAAACCGTAAAATGTTAATATTATATTAATAATATTTTTATTTATACAGGGTATTCCTTTTTTTGCTGGTCGTTTCTTATTTTCAAAAAAAAAAGATAATGTGCAAAAATTATCCTGAGGATATATTTATAATAATAATAATAATAATTTATTGCCCAACAGAATACATATTCCAATTACAGGACAAAGTACACAACATGTAACATTTTATAAAAAAAATTATAAAAGAAAAAAGATATAAAATGAACTAAATATTTTGTTAAAAAAACATAATAAAAAATAATATCATGAATAATTTAAATTAAATAAAAATTGAAATTCCAAATTATTTTGACCGAGAAAAAAAAATCATGAGCTCTGGACGTAATTTCCTTAATGTTTGAATTAAAGAAATCGCACTGGTTACCTATACAATTATAATTACCACACATAACATGAACAGGAGATTTCAAAAGCACGTTAGTTCTTGAGGAACTACAATAAAATGTTTTACTTCCACGAGATTCCAAACGTGGCACTAAAATATTTAAGAGACTCAATAAAATTTAATGACAAGAATCAATTTGGTAATTAAAAAGTCTAACATGTAGGGTATCAAAATTAAAACGCGTTAAGAGGATGTTATGGTCAATTCCTCTAGCAGGATAAATATGATCAACTCTGTAGGAGAGAAGTTTAAGGAATCTTCTTTGTACTTTTTCAATTGAGTCAATATGTACCGTTTAATACGGGTACCAAATAAGTGAGCAATATTCGAGCTTTGTTCTAACAAGATAAAAATACATTGATTTTAGTGCTGTGATGTTACAAAAATTGGTAGAATTCCGACTTATAAAACCCAGGAGCTTTAAAGCAGATTGCACAGTATTATTAATGTGGGATGTAAAAGAAATCTTATTATCAAAGAGTACACCAAGGTCACGAATTTCATGACAGCGAGGAAGAATAGTATTATCTAAAGTGTAATTAAATATGATGTGCGTATTTTTAAGACTAAAGGTACAGATTTTGCATTTAGAAATGTTTAATTGTAATCATCTACTGTTTGCTGATGACCTAAAAATATTTACCAGTTATACAGATTGCGAACTCTTTCAGGATCAGTTAAGCATTATTTTAAAGTTAACAAACTCGACCTAAACATTGTTTTCGACCCTGCCAAAGGCCTTAGAAAAATCCGTGTATATAGCATCTACTTGAAGTTTTTTGTCAAGTTGTTCTGAAACAAATTGCGTGAATTTAGCTAAGTTGGATACAGTCGACTGTTTATTCATAAATCCATGCTGCTGCGTGGAAATTAGTTTACTTACCTCATTGTAGATGCAGGTATACAGGGAAGATTCAAAGACTTTCGCAAAATTAGACAGAATAGCTATAGGTCTATAGTTTTTAATATCGCTAGGATTACCTGATTTTAAAATAGAGCAAACTCTGGTTATTTTCCATAAATCTGGAAAAGTAGACGTTGACAAAATCATATTGAACAATATTAAGAGAGGATATGCAAATATTAACGAGCAATCTTTTATTAAGAAGTTTGGGATGAGGTCAACACCAAATGAATAATTGTTTTTTAGTTTAGACATACTCCGTAATATAAGCTCCTCAGAAAATGCAGTAATATTTATATCTGAATTAAATATAAACTCAGGGGTCAAAGCAGTATTGTCATCACTGACAGAATAAACACTTCCAAAATAATCAGCAAAGCCATTAACAACATCTTGAGGAGTTTCATATTGTATATCGTTTAAAAAGACATTGGCTGGTATTCTGGTTTTACCACGTTTTTCGTTTAAAAAAACCTCATTTTTATGTTTTTTAAAATTCCTGTAACACCTTTCTTTAATTTTTATGTTGCTGATTATTTCGGTTGTGTTGGATATTTACGTTTAGATTTTGTAAATTTGGGTACGAATTGATCAAAAAGCGAATAAAGTTGAGTATAAAAAGCTTCACAGGCAGAGTTAATATTATTATAGTAATTAAGGAAATTCCAATCAGTACTTAATAAAGCCTCATACAGTTCAAATAAATTGGCTCCTTTAAAATTATAATAATTTATATAGAAATATTTTTTAATTTAAAAATAATACATTGTAAGGTACACTATGTATTTTCGTAACCCGATTCTTTAAGTACCTATACTGAAATACTTGTTTTGGCATATTCGTGATCGTCTAGTTAATTTACTTACTTTATAAAAAATAGGACTCTACGTTGTGTATTTACTTACATTGATAATAACGATATTTTGAAATTGCTCAGGTTTAATGAAACACAAGTATTTAATTTTAAACCCCTGATTTAATTTAAGCAAAGACAAATGGGTGGCCCGTTGAGTCAAAGCACAGGGAAAAGGGACCATAAAAACCCTGGCGACTTACACAGTTCAAATAAAAATAAAATACAAAACAAAACATAGTCATATGGGTCATAATCACAAGAATACAGTATAAATAATAAGTGAATAAAATAACATAAAAAGCAGATAAACATATTTCATATAATTTGGGTGTTTTTATCAATATTCAAAACATTTTGTACTTAGGTAAAATAGTTATAATAGAGATCGTCATTGTAGTGTTGTACAATTTGTTTACCTTACCACGCATCTTCGAACTATTGAACGAGGATACGATTTTATATAAATAAACTACAGCAACGACATATTTCTGATAGAGAGAATTCATATGCTTTAACCAAGTACAGATATTTAACCGTAGCCAATAACCACACTATGGAACAATTGCATACTCTGCGAAGTGATATAACGACAGCTATGGTGGTCCTATCTCACTAAAGTGTCGCTATATCACAATATGTTCAAATATTCTAACAAAATCAATGTCCAGAACAAGACAAAAGTATTGCAAAAATATACAAACAATTCTGCACACAGAGTTTATATAGGTAATAACATAAAAACACTATTTTTCTTCATACATCCTTTTGAAATAATGCTAATATATTACCCATGTTCAAATATTCATGCATGAGCACTCTCCAAACGAAAACACAAGTACAAATACAGACACAAATAAAATAAATAATATGCAATAAACTAAAATGGTATAAAATATAAATAAAATACAATAAAATATTAAATAGGAGAGAGTCATAACAAGAAACACCGGAACATGGCCAAAATTCTAACTACCAGAAAGTATCGCGCTGGATAATAACATAAAAAGATTTTTATCATATATAGTAACGTTAAAGTCATTATCAAATATTCCAAATAAAGCGCTAAGATAAGCAGTTTAAATCAAAGTCTCTATCCAGAATGTATCAAAAGGCTCAACGATACTATTACCTTACCATGATATGACCTAATGGTAATATCAAATTTAATAATAATAATAATAATAGCAATAATAATAATAATAATAATAATAATAATAATAATAACAATAAACCTTACCCAAATAATACCAATATTATAATAGTAATATAATTGTTAAAAGCTTTAGCCTGAGTACAAATGCAAAGAGTTAAAATAAATAAATACCTTAATACCGAGATGATACACTGAGTTTCATAAACAATAAAATACATCTCAGTTAAATAAAAGTGATACAAAATTATACAAAAGGGAACCACAAAATCAAGGCCAGTGTAACTCAAAATAAAGAAAATACAAAATATTAAAATTGAAGGTAAATGTAAATGTAATTCAGTGTATATGAACGCGAAAACATAAAGATTGAAACTCAGTGTATGCGCGGTCCCAAGATATTAAACCAAAATAATGAAATAGTGATACAATAAAAAATATTACCAAAAATCACTCGTTATTTACACACATTAAAATGATTAGGACCCAATAAACTAGCAATGATAAACGTCATAGACCAAAATGCGAATTAAATAATATTGTTCAAAATTATAAGCAAAAATGTATTAAGAAAACCCAAAACGAGGAGTTGTTTATCATTACTAGCAAATATTACAATTTATAAAAGTGTACATACCTAATTATAGCAGAAAATCGGCAACAATCACAAAAACTATAACGATATTATCATATATTTCACAAACTGTTCAACAGGAGTATCTCGAAGGGCGAGCAAAAACCCTCTGTGTGTATTATATTTTCTAATCTAGCTTTTAAACTCTCTTCCACTTAAGCAAGAATGTCTAACATAAACAAATTCACCCTAATATTTCTACGTTCAGATACAAAGAAGTGAAATTTTAAAATTCAATAGGTTTTTTAAAACATAAAATAACTTAAAACTATAATATTATTTTTAGTGGATTATTTAAATTTTTCTTGGTTAAAATAGCGCCAAATTTGAATTTAAAAGTTTATATACGTACTACAGGACCCTTACAGCATTAAGCATTAAGATTTATAAAAATCATATTTTTGTTTTGTTAAACTTATGTTTTTTGTATTTATTTTGTTTCAATTAAAATATATTTATCTGTTCATTATTTTTTGTTTTATTTTGATTTATTGAATTACTTTTTATTCTAAATTTAACTACAATTTGTTAAACTACCTTAAATTAACAAAGTAAATACCAAATTGAATAAACCCTGAATTCACATACTTGCCCATCACTGGTTGTAATTAATTAATTAAACAAATGGTTCTATGTTGACAAATGGTTTAATGGACGGCAAAACAACAACAAAGAACGGTGCGGTGCGTCGCGACGCTTTGCAAATTGGCAGCTTGTGCGGCCGCTATCGCGTTCTGAGAGCATCTCTGCCAATCTGCGAATGAAAATCCACCAGTTGATAGCCGGCTGGCGCCGGCATCGGAACGAACGTCTTTGATGCGCTGTTGAACGTCGCGAGCGTCTCCGTATACTTTTACGTAGTTTAATTCGTAACGTGCGAAATATCCATAGACAAGAACTTTTTGGCTCGCTTATTTTTTATTAAATTTTTTGTTGTTGATTTAGTGTCTTAGAATTTTTTATTTTCCTCAAGACACGGTCATCATGAGCAGCCAAGGTAAATAATTAAATTTTATTAATAAGAAAGTAATAATTTATTTTATTATAACATTTACATTTGGAATATAGATAAAATAATTATTTCAACACAGTTTAGTTTCTATTATTAAAAATAAAAATACATTTATTGATTGATTTACTTTCTTATGCAGGTTGAATTTATTTTTCAATAACAACTTTTTTTTCTTTTTTCTTTTTATTTTTAGCTTAAAAGTTATAATCATTTTATTGTAATTTTTTAAAAATAACTAAAAAAAATAACAAACAAAAATTTATTTTTCTTTTAAAGCCGTTTTAAAATAAAAGCATGTCAATTTAAAAATAAAAAATTAAATTTAATTTTTTTGATTATATTTTATATAATTTGTTTCGTTTAAAACCATGTCTATGTTACAAACCATTATAATACGAGTACAAAAGAAAAATGTTAATGCTTATCAGTACATGTACTCTTACAGTAACTGTAACTGTTATAAAAACGTAATTTGCGAATAAATGCACTTTTATAAGAACAAAAATACAATACATTTTTAAGAAAAACAAAATCGACAAAAACTATTATTTTTATTGACGGCCGATCGGATTTCATTGGCGTCATGAAGAGGGACAAGGAGCATTAAATGCCAGGCCACTTATTGTCAATTGTCATTTATAATTCCTAAAATAAATCGCAGAAGAATAAGAAATTATATATAACATTTTTTAACGAGCCCACCAAGGAACAACATTTGATTTCAATTGGACAAAATCTGACAAAAAAGTCGAAAAAAATGTAAAAATTTAATTGTGTACCTACTGTTTCAAAATTTTCTTTTATCTCCAACAAAAAATATAAACTATATATATATTTTTGTTCCTAATACATACATATTATACCATAATTAAATACTATTTCCTGGTCGATTTACTTAATTTTTATTACTTTTATTACTTTGTTTAAAAGTTATTAACAAAAATATTTCAAATTTTACGTCAGAATGCAATAGAGAATTAAGTAAATAGAAATATAATTTTATTATCAAATAAGTGTGTAAACCCAAAAAGCAAAAAAATTCAAATATTAAAAATAAACAAGTAGGTATTGTCCCAGTAAAAAGTTTTTATTAAAAACCAAACTTCTTGTACAATATAAATATAATATTTAAACAATTTAGTCCATTTCCATTTTTTGTAGTAGTTTCTGAAATAAATATATGGCTCATTTTACCTGGACCTAATTGTACTGTACAATTTACAATACACAATACAATTTACAATGTACAATACAATTTGTACATACGAACTTAACTAGGGTCCATATTAAAAACTTAGGTAAATGTCGAAAGTTATTTTTATATTTTATTGACACAACAAATCCTGTGTTTAACTTCTTTGTTTGTTTAACTGGAAAACTTGAAACTTACGTACCCCTAGATGGGACAGAATCCTCGAACATAAATGTTTGTAAATAAAACTTTAAAACGACGTAAAGCTTGCGACAGACACTTTATGCTTTTTGCTGTGTTTATATGGCACTATTATCATAGTTTTAAGTAATATATATATATATATATATATATATATATATATATATAACTTATATAACTTATATACATATATCTGCTAGTTATATAATATGTTTCATATCACAACCTTCTTTACTTAATTTAACCCTTATAATTTAGCAAAAATGCGAAAAACAAATTTATGGAAGTTTAGGTTTCTTAAAATATAATATGGTAAAAAAATATATTAGTAAATATAAAATTTAAAATTTCAATAGGCTAAATTAAAGAGCCTTTACATAAAGAATGGGATACTTTTTAATTAAACTGACCCCTTATAAACCTAACTATATTTACATCCAGACGTATCATAGCCAGCTAAGTTTACTATCGTATACCTGCAGTAAAAATAAATATATAAAGTTTATTAATAACTCGACCGCCTTATTTTGATAGCAACAGAGATATTTGGATTTAAATATTTTGGAATTCCTGTTTTGAACGATTATATACATTTAATTATTATCAAACCATTAATAATTTTCTCCTTATAGCTTTTTCATTTGAATTACCATCAACATATGTTATTATGTTAAATTATTATAATTATGGATTTTAATAACACACTAAAATATTTTTTTTGTTTTAAGCTGAAAGCTTAAAGGTTTTGGCAAATACATTTGTATATTGTATAAATGGTTAATTTCAACAAAATGGTAAAATTTTCTATTATTATTGCAAAAATGTTTTGCATAAACCATAAATAGTAGGTATACTACAAAAACAATTAAGTCGACTATTGTGTAGATATACAATTTTCCTTAAAAAATCTCATTTATATTTTTGTTTTTATCAACTTTTTATTTGTGAAAGACATTACCAAATTTGGTAAAAATATAAAAATGTTTTAACACAATACAATTTAGATATTTATAAGAAATGCATTTTAAATTTAAAAATAAATGTTTCTTTATGCGTTCTACAATTTAAACTTTATTATTGTCAACACTACTAAAGTAATTGACTAGGCTGTACAAATAAATTGGACCAATCGGGCCTTGAAGATAAAAAGTTGTATGCCATTCAGCTAAGAAGTATATTTGTGCTTTGAGCTCAGCATAAAAAGACCTGTATGTATGTATAAAAGACTCACTAGGAACGCCCCCGCAGGTGGGGTGGTTTCCGAAGATAAAAGTTGATCTGGACTTATTTTTTTCACATATCCTTTTGCGTCTAAACGTATTTAGACAAAAGTCGTCCGTAAACTTTATTTCCTAAATGCCCCCTTCATATATAGGCGCTATCAAAATTTCGCTTACTCCACTGATTACCAGACTAATACCGTAAATCATTTTTGGTTACGCATTATAATTTATTATGATACAGTGGTAGTTTTTTTAATATTGTTACCATTAGCGTAATATTTTGTAAAATATTGTAAAAATTAAAAGTTTCGTCCTATACACTAAATTAAAAATATTAGAATCAAGGGCGTCGATAATTTTTTCTTTGGGAGGGGCTAACATATAAGGAAAATAATTTTGCAAAACTCCTTATTGTTTATTTGCTTTTATATATTGGGGAAAAGGATTATAAGGTACCAAAACTAAATATCTCATAAACATAAACATATATTATTTATTTTGCGTTCATAATGACTTTATTATAACACCGCTTTCAGTGCTATAATGAGATACTTTACCCTACGCAAAATTTTAATTAAAATAATATTTTGCATATTGCTTATAATATTTTTATGATTTTTCTAGTACTTACGCGATTTTTCTGGCAATAAAAAAATACTTCTTTTCTTCTTTAACATTAACAGCCGCTTATTGTAAATAAGTAAATTAAGGAATGGCGAATCGATTTTGACATTAACTGTAAAACCAATGACTGTGATATTAACTATCTAAAGTAAAATTGGACCAAATTAAATATAAGGTATAAAATTAATTTTTTTATCTATTTTGCGTTCATAACGCATTATAACACCTTTATCCCACCCAAAATTTTGATTTTATAGGTTGGCTATACTTTAAACAGCATAATATTTTTCATATTGGTTAAAATATTTTTATAATTTTTCTAGTACTTACGAGACTTTTCTGGCAATCCTTTATTTTCTTTAACATTAACAGCCGCTTATTGTAAATAAATAAATTAAGGACGGCATGGCGAATCGATTTTGACATTAACTGTCAAACCAATGACTGTGATACCAACTATCTAAAGTAAAATTCGACCAAACTAAATTTAAGGTATAAAATTAATTTTTTTTATAGAATTTTTGAAAGAAAGGATAAAATAGCATAAAGAACTCATGTCATAAGACCTTTTGTCGCACTCGTCCATTACAAAACTCGCTCCTTCGTAGTTCGTTTTATAAATTGTCCACGTGCGACAAAATGATAACCTTAGTTCTATATATACTATTATAGATTTTTTGCAAAATATATAAAATAGCATAAATTGTCCTCGTACGACAAAATGACGTCTTATGACATTAGTTCTTTAATATACTTTTAAAAAAGTAGGGTAATCTTTTTAAATATAAAATTCAAATTATAAAATTATAATGTCTTTTTTTTATTTTTGCAAAACGATCCAAAATTTATTTTTATATCCCTATGTACATGTAACAATGCTAATCCTACTAGTCTATCTTTACCTGTAGTCAAGTCTTTAAAAACTATTCATAGAGAGCGACTTGCATTTATAAATTATATTTAAAGTAATTTTTTTTCTTAGGACTTCTACCTTGGGGGTAATTACCCCCATTACCCCCCTTATGGACGCCCTTGATTAGAATATACATTTTAATAAAGAAATAATTTATGCAAATATTACTTCTTATCAACTCCATGATCATCAAATCCATGTCATCAAAATTTATTATTTTTACAAATATTTGTTTCATAATAATGTCTTTTGTTAAAATTATCTTTGTATTACACTTTTATAATTTGTAATAATACAATATTTGTTAAAATATTTTTACAAAAAACTTTAACACTTAAACAACATTAGTCAAAAATAACTAATTACTACAGTTATTAGTGGCTGATTCACTTATACCATGGTATACCATGGAATAGCATGATTCTTATGTAAAATTGTCTCCTGAATCCGAAAATTATAAAAGTAGAGCAGTTTTTAAGATATAGTCAATTTCATATTATATGAAAAATTGACTATATCTCAAAAACTGTTTAACTTTTATAACTTTTGACGACATTTTCGGAATATGCGGACAATTTTACATAAGAACTGGCTATCATATCGGGGATACCATGCTATCCCATGGTATACCATGGAATAGTAAAAAAGCAGCCACTTATAACTAGTAATTAATTATTTTTGACTAATTCATTTTTGAAAAGTGGTCACAAAATTATTTATTTGCTCTCTAAATCCTTTAATCGATTATTATTTTTATAATCAAGAATTTTTTATAAGGGTGGAGCAAAAATTAAAAGTTAAAAATTTTACGTTACTTTAAATAATTTTACAA